GCTCTTTTTCTTGCTGTGCTTCTCCCCCACGCTTGCCAAGTCACCCTTCTTGCCAGTCCACTTCTCTGCCAGGCAGCCTGGGAGGGGGGGAAGAGGGGGCCCTGAGGGAGAAGCGGGGCTCCCCATGCCCTAGCGGGGCTTCCCCCCTCCCTAGCATGCCTGTGTTGCCCCTGGCAGTAGCCAGGACTTACTTGTGTCCTTCCCTTTTAGCACATGGTCGGCGCAGAGAAACTGTGAGAGATCCTCTGTCTGGTGGTGCCTGTACCAGTCCTCTATCACATCTTCGTACTCCTCGACCAGCACGTCACACTAGCACAGAGAGGAGACCCTAGCTCCAGCCACGCGCCACCGGGGCAGGACCAGGGTGGCAGGTCCCACCAACACTTCCATTCCCAGCAGCGCACCACTAGACCCTCTCTCCCCCTGTGCTCCAGCCCACAAGGCCATGGTGGCCACCGAGGGCCAGTCCGACTGGGCCAAGTACCTGCTTTTTGAGGTCAGCCACCTCAGCGGAGGTCTCATTCCACAGCTCGTAGGGGATGTCCATCACCACCTTGACGCCCTTGTGCACCAGGTTGTGCAGGGTCTCGAACGTCTCCGACATGCCCTGGGGGAGCAGTGCTGCCCGGTGATTTGGCGCTCCTCCTGATGGGCTCCCACTCTCCCCTCACGGCACCAGCCACATGACCCTGCCTAGGGACATGGGTACATGCAAGCCAGCCAAAATCAGGGTCCCTGGGGCATCGGCGTCACCAGGAGTTCCAGTGGCAGCAAGTCCCCCTCTGCAAACCCGCTCCCCAAAACAACAGAAAGACACAGGCCAGGCACGACAGCCCCTGGCTCCCTCTGTGCAGGCAAGCGATCCAAGGGACGGGAAGAACGCACCCCGGTTCGGCGCCCCAGAGGACTGGGGGACAGCCCTCACCTTTGCGAATCTGTTGCTGCCGCTCCTCTCCTTGTGCAGGTTGTAATCCAACAGCCGCTTGCAGATGTTCTCCGTCACCTCGATTAACCGGATGTCCCTGCACGGAGAGGAGGGAGGGTGAGGGCTCGGCACGGCCCCCCAGGAACAGCCAGGGCGCAGGGCGAGCCTCAGCCCAGCCGGTGCGATTGGGGAGCCCCCTGCAGCTCCCCTCCTTCAGCTGCCCCAAGCAGAAGGAGCACCCCTTGGCCGCCCTGCCCTGCCCACCCCACCAGCGCTGGCTCCCGAAGCCCCCAGCTCTGCACACCGCAGGCAGCAACAGTGGCAGGACACCACCCGTCCTGCTCTCACTTACGACTGCGTGTACTTGACGGCAGAGCCCTTCCCGTCCAGGAAGCCGTACTTGGTGTCAATCACCTCCTTGGTCTTGCCGGTCTCCTCAAAAGCGGATTTCAGCTCCACCGCCACATACTTGCACACTGCGGGAAGGAAAGCACGGGCAGGTTAGGGGGTTTGGCCGCTCTGACGGGCAGCGTGACGCAGCACATGGGGATGGGACGGCGGCAGAGACAAGTGCCAGGAGCCGGGCGCACTGGAGCCACAGTAAGCAGAAAACAGACGCCTCGGACACTCTAAGAAACAACCATGAACGGCTCAACGGATTCCACTGGAGGCGCCTTGAGGCAGGAACTCCCGAATCAATGCTGCGGTGTGAGCTTATCCGCACAGCAGCTGCCGCAGCACAGCTGGGAAGGCAGATGCCGCCAGTTCTGCCTGCAGGTTTCCCAACAGCTCCACTTTGCACCACAAGCCACCCCCTTCCTCCTGGAAGGGGACACGGTCTTTTCCCACGCAAGGCCCAGCGTGGGTCGCAGCTCCTCCTTGCAACACTGGCACATCCCACCTGGTAACAGTTCCCCCAGCGCCCTGGGGACACAGGGGCTGCGCTGGGGACCGAGTGCCAGCAGGGCTTGGTGGGACAAGATGCTGGCTAAGGATTGTGTCACCACACGAGGGGCTGTCAGCTCCAGCAGCACCGTGTGGGGCAGTGCCTGCAGCAGAGACCACAGCACCAACACCTTTATAACACAGTGCACGATTTCTTTTTACAAAACTAAAAAAAAATAATAATTAAAAAATAAAAGGGAAACAAAAGCTTTATTTCTTCTGTCACAAAATGTCTGACAGAGCTATAGAAACAGAGAGCAGGAAAAGAGAAGTATCTCAGGAGTTTACAAGTGGAAATGTGGAGCCAGGCACAGTTTGACCCTTCCTCCCCCGAAGCTGGGGTCCTGGGAGGCTGGAGAAAGCTTCGTCCTGTGCTGCGGCCTCCCATTTGCCAGGAGCTGCCTCTTCTTCAAGGCCCACTTTGGGACAAAGGCCAAGCCCCAGCAGGAAGGGTCTGAGAGGGATGAGCCACCGCATCTTCTCCCAGGCAACGATGGGAGCAGAGATGTGCCGCAGGCAGGAAGCGAGCGAGGTGGCTTCTCCGGGGCTGCTGTGCACGTGCCGAGACGCCCCGCGTGCACCGTCTGTGCATTTCCTTTCTCTGCTGGCACCCGGGGCTAGAGGTGACTGCAGCCATTTTTCAGGAGGGACGAGTGGTCCTTCCTGCAGCCCCTCTGGATTAGGGCCTCGAGGATGTCCCTCTCCACACCACACCTGCTCCAGCGCCTCCCCACGCGTGCCGGGAGCGCTCACTGCTGGGTCCAGATATCCCGACACTGCCCACCGCTATCGCTGCGCGCCGACACGGGTTCCAGGCCTGGGCAGGAAGAGGAGCAGCGCGCGGTCAGTGCTCGCTACGAAACCTCTCTGAGGTCACGCAGGTGCCACGGCACAGCTCGGACATCAGCGTCTCCAGAGCTGCTTCCCCAGCAGGGAAAGCTTTGCAAAGGGCTCCGGAGTTTCATTTCTTCCTTTTTGCTGTCACGCTCCACATGCCCCTGCATAGCAAAGACAGCGGAAACCACGGCAGACAGCCAAGGTCTGTCGTGCTCTGCCCTGGATTGCCTGCGAAGCCTTTGATTGCTTGTGATTCGAGGGGCTGCTCAGGGAGGAAGCATCACTGAGACTGAGC